GTATAATTATATTTGAAAACAATAAGAGTTCTTTTTAACATAATATTGAAATTAAGGCGTTTGAAAGAGGCATATCAATAATCTTTTTCCTAAAAACAATACTGCATTATTTAAAGGGAAATTACCATTTTTCCCCAATTTTTTTATATCACATTTCAATCTGGGGAAAAATGTTTTTTGCTTAGGGGGGCCAACCGCCGAAAATGTGTCAAAAAATATATTTTTTAAAGATAATTATTAATAAATGATGGAAATATATTCCTTACTTTATATAGTTTATTTTAAAATATTTATTATTAATACACTATCATCTCTTTTCTAGCATGTTTAATCATTATTATGGGTACAAATAAGTTTTTTTTTGAATTTTTTTTTAATCAAATATCTTATCAAATGCAATAATTATCGTTTCAAAAATTTAACTGTTCAAATAAAGCAATAATTATCTAGTAGCATTAAAAACCAATTTTAAACCTTTTTAAACCTGAAATTTACAATTTTTTGCAATATTATGAATAATCCAATCTTGTTTCAGGAAGATAAAAGCAGGGTAATTTTAAAGATTTTTATCCAAAAATACAATATAAATAAATATAAATGAGATTTTTGCTCAATCACTATTTTTTCACAAATATATTATCTCCAACTTTTTTAATAATTGAATAAAAAAAGATTTTTATTGTCTAAAATGATATATTCTATACTAATATACTTTTTAATGCATATTTTTATTGAAATTCAAGATAAGATGATTTCACTAGTTTTCCTAATATTCTATCTCAATTGATTATTTATTTAAATGAAAGCAATACAATATAATGAATATAAATATTTAATTATAGTCTTATACTCATATTCAAAAAAAAGAAAGAAAAAACAATGTTTAAGTAGTATTGATATGCATCTTTAATTATATACTACATCGGTAAGTTTATTCTGTCAAAAATGTCAAAATTATACTTCAAGAGTTATTCATGAATGAAGCAGGAATTAGGAAAACACTTAAATATCTTGATTGAAAACCATTAAATTGTTTTTCTTTTTGTGATTATTTTTAAATTTAAAAAAAAAAAAAAAAGTGAAAAAAATTCCGACACGGGGAGTCGAACCCCGATCCTGAGGTTGAAAACCACCAATCCTAACCATTGAACGATATCGGACTCCCTGACATTATATATTTAAATAATAATATAAACATTAAATTATATAAAAAAAAAATAGTTTCGAAGGCAAATTTAGTTTTATTCAAAAGTTGTTACTTCAACGTCGTCCAGATTGAATATCGATGAATCTATAGAAGAAGGAATTCTTAATTTTTCCAAATTATTGCATAGGAAGAAAGCATTGTTAGATATTTCTTCAACGGACGATGGCACTTCAAATTCTTTTATTGCAGTTCCAGAGAACGCGAAATCGCCAATTTCAACAACGGAATCATTTAGTGTAATGCTGGCCAAAGATCTGCAATCTTTGAAGGCATCTGCTCCAATCCTACGAACAGAAGAAGATGATAAATCAACTTCAGTTAATGAAATGCAGCCTTCAAATGCTCCTGATTCTATTTCTGTTACAGAAGAAGGAATGACTATTTTTTCAAGCGATCTGCAATCTTTGAAACATTCAGATCTAATAATATGCACAGTTGAAGGAATTTCAAATTGTTTCAAAGATGTGCATTCAATAAAAATGCTTTCAAGTTCTGTTAGTAAAGGAGATGTTAAAGTAGCTTTGGTCAAATTTGTGCAGCCTTCAAAAAGTTTAGGTCCGATTTCATTTGATGGGATTTCAACTTCAGTTAGTGAAGTGCACTTTTCGAAAACACATTTTTCTAGTTTCGTTTCCGGTGAACAAATTTCGATATGATTCAATGAAGTGCACTCACTGAAAGCGTCGAATTCAATTACATTAACGTTTGGAGGTATTGAAATTTCAACAAGTGAAGTGCACTTTTTGAATGCATTCCGGCCAATTGTCTGTACAGATGAAGGAATCTCTATCGTCGCCAGTGAAGTACATTTGTCAAAGAGATTACTTGCTAGCTTGGTGATTCCTGCTGGCAAAGAAACGTTACTCAGTGATGAACAATTGTTGAAACAGTGCCAGCCGATTTGTGCGACAGACGATGGGATTATTACTTCTTTAAGCGAGCTGCAGTTCTTGAAGCAGTTGTTACCGATGGTCTTGACGGTGTCGTTGATTTTGATCTCAGTCAACGATGAACATCGGCAGAGCAAATCGTCACTTAGGTCGGTTATCGATGATGGAATTTCAATCGATTCTAAAGACGTGCAACCGTTAAAAACCGATTCTTCAAGATGGGTAAGACTTGTTGGAAGTGTCACTTTTTTGATTGAAGAGCAATCTTGAAAGGCACTTTTTTCAACCGTTTCTAACTTTGATGAAAACTCAATGCCTTCAAGTGATGAGCACTCAGAAAAAGCATTTTCACATATGATTGAAACATCGGTTAAATTGACCTTTCGTAGTGAATTGCACTTTTCAAAGGCACTCCTCTCAATTTTTTGAATAGACTGTGGCAAATAGGCTTCAATTAGGGAGGTGCAGGCAATAAACATCGATTCGGGAATATGGTCTATTTTTCCCGAATAAATGCTTAATGGATCAAAATTTTTTTCTGATTATCATTTTATTAATTATTTATCTGATTAATGAATGTAATAAATATAATATATACGTATTAATCATTTTAAAAAACAATAAATTATAATAAATTATTGTTTATTTAAGATTTTTCCACTATCAAAATGAACTTCTCCATTATCAAATAGAATTTTTCCACTATCAAACCGAAAAGACTGTAATTATTGATTTGTTTCAAGATCTTTGTGATTCACTCCATTCTCTTGTTTTTATCCAGTCTCCAAATGTGACATTCCCTTCTGGATCTGTAATCACTTGTCGCTTGTATTCTGTATAATTTGTTGTGTCAAGGTAATAGTCATGAACTGGCGCTTTAGGTTTCGGTCCTGCAATTATATAACGTCGTCCTCCACACGAAACCCATTTCATTTTCTCTTCTCGTGTTTTATTTCGTTCGACTTTCGTTTCTTCTTCAACTTTCGTTTTCTTTTCTTCTGTCCATTCTCTCATTACTTCTGGTGTCGTATATCGAATGTTGCCATGCCAATCTGTGATTTTCGATCTCTTTTGGTCTTGATAATAAAGCACTTTTTTCTTGTTGACTCCTTCTCCAACGTTTTCTTCCTTGATTAAAACTTTTTTCAGTTCTTCTTCTTCCTTCTTTTTGTAATCTGGTCGAACAACCTGAAGTCTTTGCGTTGGAACTGGGTTATTTCTATGTGCGAATTCAAATGCTCTAACATATTCAAATCTCGTTGCCTCATCATTTCTATAGTTCAATGAGTCAAATCTTCATTTTGGAAAATTTATTTGTCGTTTTTTTTTTTCCAAAGATTTCATTTAAATGAAAAAACGATAGAAAAAAATATGAATGACTTCATTTTTATTTTTAGAAAATGATCAAGAAGGTAACAGTTTTATCATTGGGAGAAAGTGGAGTTGGAAAATCGACATGTGGATGTGTCTTTTTGAAAAATAAGAACGCATTCGACACAGACAGTAGTCCTGATTCTTGCACTTATAAAACAAGTTCTCAATCGAGTATCATCAATGGGATAGAACGACATTTTATTGACACACAAGGACTTGCTTCACCGGATGGATTAGATGCAGCATACATCACACAAATGGTTGACTTCTTGAAGAAATGGGAAAATGGAATAAACGCGATATACATCATCATTAACATTCAGTCTCCGAGATTTGATGCAGGCGTGCAACAAATGATGAAGATGCTTAACAAGTTATTCAATAATCCAAACTTTTGGAATCAGACGGCAATCATCTTTACAAGATGTTATCCAGGCCATTTCGATCGAAATTCTGCTGAAACAAGATATCGGAACCTCGTCATCGATTTCATTAAAAACCTTCCTGGTTGTCAAAACATTAATCCGCAGGTGCCATGCTTCTTCGTTGACTCTGTTAATTACGAAAATGATCAATCAACGAAGGATGAATTCATTCGGATATTTGAATATGCGCATGGGAAAGACAGCTTGCAAACGCACGAAGTTCAACCTGTGAGACCGGAATATCAATCGAGAGAAGAAATAAAGATGAATCATGTTTTATTGAATACGAGTTATTCAGGAAGTGGAGCCAGTCGTACAAAAACAATGACGTACGCAGATCAACGGAAGTATAAACTCACAGATTGGAAAGGGAACGTCACATACACACAGCCAGAAAACATCAGAACATGGAATGAAGTCATAAGCTCAACATTCCAACAAGAAACAAAAGTAGAACAGAAAGAAAGCACACAAGAAATCTTTAGATGGGAATCATGTGGCGGTCGTCGATTTGGATTTTGTGGCCCAAGACCAAAACGGCAAGTTCATGATTATTATTTGATCACAACAAATTATACAGAATATCTACGTGATATAATCATAGATCCAGATGGAAATGTGACATATGGAGATTGGAGGCACAACCGTGATTGGTCAAATCTGAGAACTGCTTAATTATTTTTAAACTTGTTTAATAAAAATAGCTGACATAAATCAATTCTTCAGAAACAAATCATTTTTGAATGAATTTTATTTAAAAAGACAAAAAAACGACACGAACCAGATTCGAACTGATGCGGGTAAACCCATGGGGACTCAAATCCCACGCCATAAACCACTCGGCCATCGTGTCTTATATCATATTATATAATTTATTTATTTTAATTTTAATTTAAATTTATTAAATAACATTGACTTTCTCTTTAAATATATTTTTTATCAAAGAAATGATAAAAAGAAACCAAAAGGATTTAGCTTTTTTGTCAGGAATTTTGTGTCACGAAAAAAATATTCAGTTATAACATTATTATTTTTATAACAAAATTCAAGTTTTCGTTAAATCAATTGAAAAAATAAAAAAAGAATATCAAAAAAATGAAAAATCTGGTCAGCCGGGAATCGAACCCGATCCTTAAGAACGACATTCTCCTATGCATCCATTACACTACCGACCATTAAATTTATATTATAATTTTTATTTGTAAAAATAGTGTTTTTTCCCGTACCATTCAAAAAATTGAATATAATTCATAAAATTATTTTTAAATATCTATGAAATTGAATGATACGGAAAATTGCAACAAAGAAAATTGAGATTTTTATTTTTTTAATATCTTGAGTGGTAAGTTTTGAAAATTGAGGATTTTTGTATATTGTTGAAAGTTTCGAATTAAAAAAAAATAACGTTTAAAAATAGGCTGAATATCAGTGAATACTGAGAATTTGCGATACTTAGTATAAAAAATGTGTGAAATTTGGTTATAAAAAATAAAAAATGATCAACTGGAATGGAATTTGAAAATTGCTAATTTTTAACTGATCTTGATCGTGTTTAATTGAACCGATGCACATTTTTATTGCTGTAAATTACATATTTTAATAAATTTGATATTTTTGGATTTTTCGAGTTTGAAAATACAAATTTAAAGGCACTAGCCTAATATTTGAACTAACCGCATTTGAATTTCACTCATTAGGTTTCAAATTGACTGCTTGGCTATGATCAAGATTACATAATTCAGAATTTTGAGTTACAAATTTCAGTTTATAATTGAAAACTATGATGTTTTCAATAGCTTATAAATTTTCATTGTATAAAAAAATAAAAAATAAAAAAAAAATTTAAAAAGGCTCTGAAAATTGAATGGTACGGAAATTTGCATATCAGTTTATTAATATTAATGCTCCTTGTGTATATATATATGCATTTTTGTGATTATTTTTAAATTAAAAATAAAAAAAAAAAAAAAAGTAAAAAAGTTCCGACACGGGGAGTCGAACCCCGATCCTGAGGTTGAAAGCCACCGATCCTAACCGTTGAACGATATCGGACTCCCTAATATTATATATTTAATTAATAATATAAACATTAAATTATATAAAAAAAGTAGTTTCGTAGTCAAATTTAGTTTTATTAAAAAGTTGTTACTTCAACGTCGTCCAGATTGAATATCGACGAATCTAATGAAGAAGGAATTTTTAATTTTTCCAACTTAGTGCATAGGAAGAAAGTGTTGTTAAACATTACTTCAACGGACGATGGCACTTCAATTTTTTTCCTTTTTTTGAATATGAGTATAAGACTATGATTGAATATTTATATTCATTATATTGCATTGCTTTCATATTAATATTAATATTAATGCTCCTTGCATATATATATATGCATTTTTGTGATTATTTTTGAATTAAAAAAAAAGTGAAAAAAGTAAAAAAGTTCCGACACGGGGAGTCGAACCCCGATCCTGAGGTTGAAAGCCACCGATCCTAACCGTTGAACGATATCGGACTCCCTGATATTATATATTTAATTAATAATATAAACATTAAATTATATAAAAAAAATAGTTTCGTAGTCAAATTTAGTTTTATTAAAAAGTTGTTACTTCAACGTCGTCCAGATTGAATATCGATGAATCTATAGAAGAATATAAAAAAAAATAACGTTTAAAAATAGGCTAAATATCAGTGAATACTGAGAATTTGTAAAACTTAGTAGGCATTTGTTATAATAAAATGTGTGTAATTTGGTTATAAAAAATAAAAAATGATCAACTGGAATGGAATTTGAACATTGCTAATTTTTAACTGATCTTGATCGTGTTTAATTGAACCGATGCACATTTTTATTGGAGTAAATTACAAATTTTAATAGATTTGATATTTTGGAATTTTCGAATCTTGAAATACAAATTTAAAGGCACTAACCTAATATTTGAACTAACCGCATTTGAATTTCCTTCATTAGGTCTCAAACTGACTGCTTGGCTATGATCATGCTTACTTAATTCAAATTGAAAACTATGAGGTTTTCAATAGCTTATCAATTTTCACTGTATAAAAAATAAAGATTGAAAGAGGCTTTGGAAATTGAATGGCACTGAAATGCAAAAAATTGACCAAATATTCTTTCAAATTCATAATTATCAATTCTAATATACACGCTTCAATGAATTATAAAAAATTGGAACAAGAACCTGTTTTTTATAAATTAATTTGGAACACAAATGTTTTTGATGTTCCGTTTAATGATCTAACGTCCAAAATAAATCCAGATATCTATTTCGAAATTAAATCCAAAAGGCAATATCAAATAAAATCGGATATCAGTGAAAATGTACTCAAAAATTTCGTTCAATATTTAACCGAGTTAGAAATACCTGATTTTGGAGTAGATAATATTTATGAATATGAACGACTTAGCAATGAATTTGATATAATGAAGAATCTAGTAAATTTATATAAAAATCATATGAATTATAAATTTTTTCCTTTACAAGCTGAAAACGAAGAGCTCAAAAAAATGATTTACACAAAAAGTGACATTTTACAACAAAAAACTCAAAACAACCAAAAAATCATTTATTTTTTGTTCTTTAATAAAGGAATTGCTTCATACGTCAAGCTAAAAAATAAGCTTTTGATACGAGATGCATGCGAAGAAGAGAATGTTTCTTTGATTGACATTTACACCCGATTGAAAGTCGAAATAGACGGAATAACGTACATCCTAGATGAGGAAAAAAAGACTGCTTCTGTTTATGCAATCAATTCTTGCAATGATTCTTTGATATTACCACCAAAAATCAATTATAATTCAGAAGATTACGTCATCACAAACATCGTCGATCTTCCTGAACAAAGAGAAGAAGAAGAAGATCCAACCGTTGATGAAACTGCAAATGATCTTAATAATAAAGAAGAAATGAAAAAAGATTCAACTATTAATGAAACTGTAAGTGATGCGAATGAAGAAGAAGAAGAAGAAGAAGAAGAAGCGGAAGAAGATTTGGCTGCTAGTGAAACTGCAAATGATCTGAATAATAAAGAAGAAATGAAAAAAGATTCAACTATTAATGAAGCTGTAAGTGATGTAAATGAAGAAGAAGAGGAGGAGGAAGGGGAGGAAGGGGAAGAAGAAGAAGAAGAAGAATATTTACCCATTGAAATTCCTGAAAATTATGAAGGAAATTTGAATATTCATTCAATTGAACCAAACGTTCTCATTAATGGTTATGATTCTACTGGATTATTTATTGTTCCTCCTAATTTAAGTGAATTCAAGGAGGACTGGTGTGCAGGTGACACTGAAATAATTCGAGTTCTAGTGATGCCATCAAACAAGCACTTTATTAACTATGATAAATACTTTGTGCTTGGAAAATCTGATCAAAAAAGTGACATTTTTGATGTTCTATTTTTTTGCAACAGGGACGCTCGAATAGTTATTGTGCCGCCGTTTATCAAGAGGATTGCACCTTACGCTTTCTATTACTGTCAAAGACTAAGGACTGTCAATTTTACTGAAGATTCACAATTAGAAATAATTGATAAATGCGCATTTCAAGATTCAGGGATTCGAAAAATTTCTATTCCAATTCATGTCAAACACATTGCTGAATATGCTTTTTCTGAATGCTCAAATTTGTCAAAAGTTGACATTGATAAAAACTCAGAATTACAAAGCATTGGCAAAGAAGCTTTTGCACACACAATTTTGAAGTCATTTTTGATTCCACCAAGTGTGACTTATTTCAGTTCAGATTGCTTTTACAATGGTGAATCAATAATAGTCGAATTGATGCCAAATAATCAAAATTACACTTATTATGAAAATATGTTTATTTTGAAGAAATCTCATCCAAAAAGTGACATTTTTGATGTTCTTGTTTTCACTAATAGATTTGTAACATCAGCAATCATTCCTTCTTTTGTTAGAATCATTGAATCTTATGCATTCAACGAATGCCGTAACATTAGAACGATAAGATTTGCTGATAAAACAAAGTTAAGAAAAATCAATGATTTTGCATTTATAAATTGTTCCATTCCAAGCATTACAATTCCATCAACTGTCACTTTTATTGGTGAAAAAGCTTTTTCTTTTTGTGAACAACTTGAAAAATTTGATTTTGAACCAAATTCTAAATTAAAGTCAATTATGCCAAACATGTTTAATTTTTCATCAATTGAGACTCTTGTTATTCCTCCAACTGTTGATAGATTATATGAAGGCTGGTGTTATGAAGCGAAAAAATTGAAGGAAATTATATTAATGCCAAATAATCCAAGATTTTCAATGTACAATGGCACTTTTTTACTGGGGAAATCTGATATAAAAAACTTTGATGTTCTTCTTTTTGCTAATAGAAACATTGAAAAAGCAGAAATTCCTTCATTTATTAAAATAATTGATTCTTATTCATTTGCCAATTGTTTGAATCTCAAAAATGTTTTCTTTTCACAAGATTCAGAATTGAGAATAATTAAAAAGTATGCATTTACAGAAACAGCAATTGAAAGTATTAGAATTCCACCTCGTGTTTCTCAAATTGATAAATATGCTTTTTCAATTTATGCTCAAAATGTTGAATTTACTAATAATCCAAATGCAATAAGGATTCATCATTATGCCTTCAATTTTGAACGTGTACATTTTTACAGAAAATTATATTTCCAAGCTCTACCAAAACGATATGAAGAAATGAGGAAAAGAATTGAAAATGACAATTTGAAGCAAATTTACTCACAATTCATTTTTTTGTATTTTTCGTATCAATTTTTCCATAAAGAAAACAGTGTTATTAATCAATTGATGATCATTAATTTTTTGTTTGAATCATTAAAAATACATAAATTTATTGTATTTAATCTTTATAATCGTTATCTATGCAAAGATTATGATGGTGGTGATTTTGTTGTTGATGCAATTTTTTGTTTTGAAAGCAGCTTCTTAATTATTGAAAAGATTAAAGTAAATTTAATTAATGAAGTTATAAATAGACTTAAAAAAGAGAAGATATCATTGTTGAACATTAGTAAAGAAAATAATAATAAAAAAGAAACGATAGATGAAAAAAATATAAGTGAAGAAATACAAAGTTTTCAAAGACATTTTCGATTTGAGATCCATAAAAATCAATTTCTTGAATTATCAATGTCATCAATTGCTTGT